GGATACAGCAGGGGAGGGGGAGGAGCGTGACTGTGGGAATGAGTTTATTCAGTGGCTGAGTCAATACCACTGACGTGAGCTATTTTCCTCTATATCCGGCATCTATGTCAGCTGCTCTGCTGCATCCTTTTGTTCCTAGGATAACACTAGTAAGGCACATCCGTGGTTTTTATGTCGGCTCTCGTACTCACTTGGCAGATGCTTTTCCCTCTTTTTAAACAGCTACTTCAATGTGTGCTTTCATTTGTCTGTAATTATTAAGGATACTGCAGTTGAAGAAGTGAATAAATTGCATTAATCATTAACTGTTACCTTCGTGGTTTACAATGAAGTTGAACTGACAACGAAATATATTGGTTGGTTGATCTGTAACTCAGTGTGAATTGTGTTGAAGAAGAATAAACTGTGCCCATTTCATAACACTGCTATTGTGTTATGCTAACATTACATCTTGTGATAACGATGGCAGTTTACAACAATGTTCACCTGAGTCAAATAGGTATTTTAGTATATTATTCAGGGCTGTTAGCATACTTAAATAACAATTATTCAGTCTTAAAGTTGCGACATGCCTAGTGCCTAACTCGATGCTTACTTTAGAAATTGCAATCTTTGATGCTTCTATAGTTTAGTATTTCCTTTTTGTTTTCTGTTAGTGTGTTAACTTACTCTGCGGGACACGTTAATCTGCTGTAAGATAGGAGCAACAAGAGATGAGTGCACTGTAAGCCTGTGCTGGGTCTGCCCACGTAGATCTTATTGCTGGATCAGCACATAAAGGCTTAGCAAAATCAATGTGATTACTGCAGGTGGTGAGCACAAGGTATGAGAGGAAATGTTTGATAGTCTGTGCTCCGTGAACAAAACAAATGCAACCAATCGGCTCCATGTAGGCTTAGTACTGCTTTCAGATGTTCAGCCGCTCCACAATGCTTTGGTGTTATAGGTACGTTTTCTGCATTATATAAACTTTTCAGTGAACCTTTTCAGGCTAATGAGCTTAGACACTTATTCATTTTGTTCTGTGTGTCATTTGTGCGTGTTTAGGGCTTTTCATTGAAAGATCCCTTAGCACTTGAATTGAAGGTCAGAAGACCTGGGAATAAAACTGGTAACTGAACCTATGCTTTGTTGGGTTCACAAAAAAAAAGGCTGGCTTGCTCTGGGAATTCTAGATGCTTCCTATATTTTAATTATTATAAAGCTCTGTTACATATTGACAAAAAAAAGAAATCCCACCTTAGGCAAGAACCCATCTAGCTCTGTCATGGAAAATCTGCTTAATAATTACCATTATGGGAATCTGAACAGCTTTCTCTTTTTTTTTCTCTTTTTTTCTTTTTTTTTTTTTTTTTTTTTGGTTAATGGTGTACTTCATTGTAAAAGTGATATTTCTTAGTTTATTCAAGTTGGCAGTGGCTCAGACGTCTTGTGAGCTACTAGTTTGGAGTATTTTTATATATATAAAATGTATATATCTATATAATGTATATATTGTGCTTGATATCTCCCAAGTGAAATCACAGAGTGAATAAACAAAATGAGACGCCTTTTTCCCCACACGTTTAGCTACTGTCCACCAGTTATGGAAAAACATGTAATTAAAATCAGTTTATATCAATTCTTAGTGAAATAATTAGTCTTAAAGCATGGCCAAAATTTAACGATTTTGGAGAAAGATACCATTCATATAAACAGTTGTGGTGTGTCGTCCCCCCCCCCCCAAAGTGTGGGTTATGTGGTTTGTGAAGGGAGGAGAGTTCTACCATATTTCTTAATTCTACCACTCTTAATTCTACCATATTTCCCATTTTACTGTCAAGTTGGAAATATGGTAAAATTAAGAGTTCTCATGTGGGTGATTAATGTAACGTCCTTAATTTTGAAGAAAGCTTGGGGCAAAGAGCGCCCTTTACCCCCCCCCAAAGTGTGGGTTATGTGGTTTGTGAAGGGAGGAGAGTTCTACCATATTTCTTAATTCTACCACTCTTAATTCTACCATATTTCCCATTTTACTGTCAAGTTGGAAATATGGTAAAATTAAGAGTTCTCATGTGGGTGATTAATGTAACGTCCTTAATTTTGAAGAAAGCTTGGGGCAAAGAGCGCCCTTTATTACTTGGGCAGTTTAATCTCAAATATATTCCTGCGCATCTTTTTAAAGAAGCAGAGATTTGTGTCCCTCTAATTGGAGTCTGTGAAACTATTAGGGCTCTCTGTCTCTCTCTCCCAAACCGGTTGTGACTGCCAGGGAAGTATGTAGCATGTTTTAGCTTGATGTCAGATTACGCTTCCTTGAATGTATTTTGACTCATTAAAAGTGAGGTCAGATGGAGAACGTGCTGCTTGTCATGTAAACTACTGCTCGACTTGTTGGGACTCTTCGCTCACAGTTTAATTTGAGTGTTCTTCCTAGCATGGCCACAACACGTTTTAGATAAACGGCAAGTTTTGTGAGTCTGGGATAAACATTAATAAAGATTTTATTTGTGCATAATCTTAGGTGCTGTGGAGGTGTGTTTAGTAGCTGCAGACTAGAGCAACCAGTTCTGATCGTCTTCCGCTGGGCTTTTCTCTGCCCGTGCTTGGTGTCAGAGGAAGACGTCCCCTTGCACCTTTGCCCTCTGTTCTTTTCACGTTGTTTTTCACTCACTGCCAATTTTTTACTAATAGATGTCTTTGCACATTATAATTCTCCCAATAGATACTCTCTACTCCAAAATGGTTATTGGGGAACATATAGCTTTCTGGCCTAACTGTCTTCTAACTGCAGTTGCCACGTGCTTTTCTGCAGGTGTGGCCTCTTGCTGTGAAGGTGTTGCTACAAGGCAAATCTACCTTCCTGATGTAGTGCTTACAATGTGGCCCTTTTATTTTGAAATTTAGACACCAGCAATCATCATAAATCTGAAATAATACAGTGTCTCTGTCTCAGGCTGACTAGTCTGAGCAAAGGCTGCCTTTTCCCAGTTAACACTTCGTTATCTGAAAAGTCCAGTATGTAGTACAGAGTTGGTGTTCATCGTGTGATTGTGCACAAGAGCTCTGCACACCCTGAATTCCTTGTTTGTGAATACAGCTTGGGGAAACCAGACTGTAAACCACCAGGACTCTTAAGACTATGATGCTTACATGGTCATCAGTATAATGGCATAGTTACTAATTGGTACTAAGGATAAACTCTGTTTCAGCTTCACAAAATCAGGTTGGAAATAGGTGAACGCGTTATGACATACATCCCTTCCTGTGTCACTGATACAGTTCCCAGAGCCAAAACTTTGCTATAAAAAAGGAAGTGCAGGCATTCTAAGGTGCATTTCAGAAGTCAAGAAATCAGTGCTAAAATTTAGAACCTGTACAAATAATGTTTAAAAAGTCGTTTCAGTTGTTGTATTTGTATTTTTAGACTTTCTTTTCTTTCTTGAATATTTTTACCTCAGTGATGAAGATGTCACAACTTTAAAAAATAAAAAAAATCAACCAAACACAAAAAACCTGAAAGTGCTCACCTTCAGGTGGCATAAATTAAATTACACAGGAGTTGTGATGACATAATATACATGTGTGAAATCATTATTTGACAGATAATGGGAAATAATGTTGCATTGAAAACAGTAGGCTTTTGAGCCTACTCCAATTTCCAATTGGAGATCTTTCCCTTCGTAATCACGGCTAATGAAGTGACTGTATGGTCAAATGATTCTTGTTATATGTCTAACTGAGAAGGTTGGAGTTGCAGTTGGATAGGGAATGTATTTAAATATACATAGAGCAGTAGAAGACTATTCTATCTTTACTGTTCAGGACATTAAATAGTATGTTTATGAATTAAGAATATTTCCAAAAGCTGTTTGTTTCCAGTTGTTTCCAATTGAAACATGTTACTAATGAACATACCGGTAAATATTGTTTTGCATTTAGTTAATATGCACATAAAATAAAAGTGAAGACATTTAAAAACAAAAATAAAAGTCCTTAAGCTAACTACAGAGTATATGAACTTTTTAGCAGATGCTTTTATCATTCATGATACACTCTTGTTCTTTCGTCAAATCTCAGTGCCCACATGGATATCCCATAGCTATAACTACAAAAAAAAAAGGAAAACACAGCAAATCTCAACTTGTAGGCTATACAGCCTTCCCTGGCTAAGGAAAGGAGAAAAAAAAAAAAAAGGGGGGGGGGGGAAAGAGGCCGAAGTAATGGCATTGAAATTATTAACTGTTACTACATGTGAGAACTCTGGATTTCTCATGCTACTCAGTTCTTTATTTTGGCTTATTAGCCGTGAAATCTTAATCTAACTGCAATGAAATGTGTGTTAGCATGGTACTTCAGCTGTGTAAGGAAGCATACTGCCTACCTCAAGGTTCTGATGGTTTGAATTGTGGTATGACCCATTAAGGTTATGGTAGGATAGCAGAGGTGGCAGATGGTGTTGGATGGGAGATGTTTGTTAGAGGGCCAGGGCAAAGAAAGTTGAATGAGGCCTGAGAATGGCAGCCTGCCTGATGTATATAAAAATCAGGGTTTGATTCAGGGCCTTTGGAAGTCGAGGGAAGAAGGAGAATATAGAATCGCAGATGGGGGAGTTGTATAGTAGGGGGCTAGGGGATGAAAATTTTGTTTCAAAAAGGAATGTAGAAGTAGAACAGGAAAGCGGGGAGACTAGTGTAATTGAGTGCTACGTAGATAATTGAAGCTTCAAACTGCAGAGAGAAAGATGGCCTGTTAAAGTATTAATAGGTGAGGAGAGAGGGGACATTTTATTTGAGTAGCTCCGGAGGTAAGTAGCAATAAAACATAACTTTTTAGGTGTGTTTTTGTTGATGAAAGAGGAAGAAACATGTCACTCTTGTCTCCAGTACGTGTTTATGAGCTTTCTCCCAGCAGCAGTGTATGTTATCTGAATTCACCATATTCATGTTTTTTTCTGTGTGTAATTGATAAACGTAAGATGAGTTTTAGTTCCACTGCTTTTAATGAAATTACGTCTGGCTGGCCCAACAGGTTCCTGGGTGGAGTTACAGATGAACGGCAATGGCAATAGCAATGATAATGGTAATGGGAAAAACGGAGGTCTGGAACATGTCCCTTCATCATCCTCCATCCACAATGGAGACATGGAAAAAATTCTCCTGGATGCCCAGCATGAATCAGGACAGAGCAGTTCAAGAGGTAGTTCCCACTGTGACAGGTAAAGAGGTGTTTGCTGCCCTGCATGCAATTTATTGCAGTTTTCATCCTATAGATGTTAATGGAGGGATAAAGCTTTTTCTCGTGCTTAAGTTTGTCATGCTCCAGTATTTGGAGTACTTGCTGGCTCAGATAACTGGCTATCAAATAAGACATCTGACTTGAAAAATACATCGTTGCTACAGAAAGCTAAGGAATCCAGGAGCGGGAAAGTCACATCAACACCACAGTTAAATTTCACATTGTCATAAATCACATGTGGTATAAAAAATACCTAATTTTACTGGCTCATTAATAATAATGTTATGTACATGTGCTTTATATTTAGTCAAGCATAATAAAATATATTACTGGCCTTAACAGATAAAAAGATTCTCAGAATTTGTACTCCTTGCTTTCAGTATTCTACTTTTTTTCCTGTGAAGGCAAAATATTTCTTACCTAACAATATAATCCTTTGGGGCACATGTGAGTGTTATGATATTCTTACGTGTTCGTTATACCTTTTTTCTAGGAAGCTTTGGGACAGTTTTGAAAATCCTTGAGCAGTTTCTATGTATAATTTTAGCTGTCCTTCTGCTTGTGCCTCCTCTGGTTTTGCTGGGTGAATCCTGTCTGTCATGTCTACTGTATAGCTTATATAAGTGGTTGATCAGATATAAAAGCTATTTAAAATTAGTTAGGCCTGATTTAATTACTGAATGTAGTAGACTGTTTGAAAATAATCCGTACGTGTATTTCAAATAGAAGGGTTATGTTTATAGAAAATAAAGTTTTTACATCTATGTTGCTAAGAAACTAGCTGTCAGTAGTTTAGTACTTTCCAGTCTAACCAGGAACATTTGCTAGGTGACGGTTGTATAGTTTCTTTTACTAGCATAGGATTTTTCAGTCATTACCTGAGTTTTAAGTGAATGAAGACAGATTCCTTTTTTTCCTTAAAACTTAATTTTCCGCTTGTTAACTTTTTGGTAATTCTTTTGCCCTTTTGACAGTTGAAGTAACATACAAGAAAGGGGAGGTACTTTGAGATTTTGCATTCTTTTCTAAAAGTTCTAAACAGTAAGTTGCTCTTAAATGTGGTGTTTTGGGTTCTCTTTGGATATTTCTAAAATACACCTTTTTCATGAAAGCTTAAGTCAGGTTAAAAAGATGCCCTTAGCATTTTAATGAGAGAAACCTGCATTGGTGTGTCATACAGCATTTGGTATTGTTCCTGACTTAAATTCTCTTGTGTTTCCTTGGCTGAGGTGCGTTAGTTGTTTAATTTCTCAAGTAGATCACCAAATAGTGAGGCTAACAAGGGGAATATGTATCCTTGCCAAGCATTAAAAGGTGTTTTCATGTGTGATGTTTCTGCTTGTAATGATACAAAAAGAGGTATAATTCACAATATTGGCAGTGTTATCTAAAAGAAGGAAGGGATTTACATCTTTTGTGTAGCAGTTGACGTTTTGGGCAATGCTTTCTTTGCTTCAGTAAAAGGATGGTCAACCCTGTTGAGAAAGGTAGGATTATAAATTGAAAAAAAATTGAAAAGATGAGGCATTTTGGAAGACTTTAATACTGATGTTTGTGATCTAAAGGGTAGCGTAGTCTGTAACTCATCTCAGTAGTGTGCAGAAACGCACAGGGAAGTGATTCAGCTGAGATGCTATTTACACTAATGATTCTTTAGGTGACAGAGTGTAGTATGACAAAATGACATAATGAAATGAATTTTTCTTTAGCCCTTCACCTCAAGAAGATGGACAGATAACTTTTGATGTGGAAATGCACACAAGTAAAGACAGTAGTTCTCAGGTATTTTCTTCATTAACCTTTAAAATACATTAACTTTTAAAACGTATTTTTTTTAATTGTGGATATTGTATATAGATCATATATTTATATAGATCAATATTGGGAGTACTTGAGGGGTAGAGCAAGCTCTCTGTCATGTCAAAAGGTCTAAAATGTTATATATTTTACATGTCAAAAAAATGCATTAAACTTCTGCTTGCTAGCAATTTTTTTTTTTTTTTCATTCTGAGACCCTAATCTTGGCTGTTAGCTGCAGTACAAGCAAACGAATTATATAAATCTTATTTATTCAAAATTTGGAGGTGTCCGTTAGTCATTTAGGTAGGGCTGTTTACTTGTCTTGTACTTTGTTCTTGCAGGTTTTTACTCTTTTTTATTAGAACTTTATTTAGTACCTCCCTGTAAATATGTATAGTAAATAATTTTTGTGCACTCAAGCTTATGTTAGTTTAACTAAATTATCTTTTCTTTTAAGGGGTTGTTTTCAGAATAAAGTTTTATTAAATTAAAACACATTCCAGAGCAATTATGTTTAACAACGAGGCAGGGTTAGTAAACTTTGCTTAGGCTTACATTCTGTATTAATTGAAATTTGACTTGTAGAGATTAGTAGTTTTGCAGTGAGGGGGAAAACGAGGCTCCATCTCCAAAGCTGAGAAATGCCCGATTTAGTAACAGTCTATTATTGTTTAGCACTCTGCTTGCACTGTGTGTGTCAAACCTGTTTCGGTTTTGAAATGTTTATATTTCTGCACAAGATTTCAGGGTGTTCAGTTTATTGCTCTACAGATAGTCAGCTCACATGATAGTGAGTAATCTCCATAATACAAACTGAGAGGAGACTAATGCTGAACTCTTAGTTTGATCATTTAATAGAATTTGCTGTCTTCAGCAGTATAAATAAAAAGCATTCCTGGAAGAATGAAACCTTGCATTTAATTTTGTCAAAGACCTGGCCGAACAGTAGGACTGTTGCAGTTCTGCCCTACAGAGCCACAACGATATGAATGAAGTTGTTTGTTAGGTCTGCCATCTCACTTTTGTGACTGTCATATTTGATTACTTCCGGTTTTGGTATGGTTCCCACTTAATGTTTTAAGTGGTTTATCTTACTTTACTAAGGGTCACTCAGGAAATTGTTTTAATGGTAAGGAGGAGTTTGTACCAAAGTCAGTGGAGTTCTCTAGTCTTTCTAATTTATTTTTTTCCTACATGGTAACATTTGCATCTAATGGTGTAATCTCAAATCTTTGCATCAAGACAATTGTAGTGAGTGCTTGCCTTTCCTTACTGCATCTGGGATGCACCCAGTAGAAGCTGCTAGTTGCAAGTAATATAAATTTTAAATGACTAATAACACCTTTAAAAAAGTCAAAATACTATTTTTGAAACCTTTTTATTTGGCCGTCTTTCTGTGCTTTAGCCATGTTCTGTATGCTTTAAATCGAATGCCATCAAATTAAAGTTCTTGCCATTTGTAAAAACTTTGTTTAGTATTTTTTGCATATTGCTGGTTTATTACATTTAGGATTAAAATATTCCTTTTTTTGTTAGTTTTAAAAAAAACAAAGAAACAACTTGCAATGGTGTGGAAGTCCTGGATATAGTAATAAAATTTGTGGTATACTGACTTCTGGAGATCCTCCTGTTAGCATAATAAAATCTCTTCTAAATAATCAGTAGGCCAAGAACACTTGCTCGTTTATCAGGTGCCACCATTTGGTGCTTATCATTTTACCACTGTTGTTGTTGCTCTCAATTTAACACCATAAGGAGGAGCTAATTGAGTGTTATAAGGCTTGTCCCATGTATATTTTCAGTCTGAAGAAGAAGCAGTAGAAGGAGAGAAAGAGTTGGAAGTTTTGAAGAAAAGTGCTGACTGGGTGTCAGACTGGTCAAGTAGGCCTGAAAACATTCCTCCCAAGTGAGTTAAACTCTTTTTTAAATGAATATTCTTTTATATGAAGGCGAGAAGAATCATAAGTCACAATTGCATGAAATTACTCTGGCTCTCCAAATAAGATCATCTTAGAAAAAGATTTCTTTTTGGGGAGGCTATAAAAAGTCAAAACAATGAAGTATGAAAATCTTAATAGCAACAGTATTACCTTTTTATTGCAAGTAATATAAATCCACAGCAAGCTGATTACAAGGTTTCTTGACAAAATTGTAATTGGGAGAGCTGGGTACTTGGAGCTGGGATTCATGGGATTTAGTTTTGGCTTATTGAATGGAATAGTGTTGAGCAAATCTCCTAAATTCTCTGTACCTTTTTTTCTTTCTATGTAAAATATGTAATGGTCATCCACGGAAGGGGAAACGTTGAGATCCTTGAATGCAAAGCATTTTTATTAAAATAGAGGATGCTGTCTAAATCTGGCAGACTTCTGTATCTCTGTTTGGAACAAAAAATGAGGCTCTTGCTAACAAATCACATCCTGAAATTCCCTCTCTCGGACCTACCTCTCTCTTCAGCTACTGCTCCCTTTGTCTCTATACTGTCTGTGTAAGTGGTCTCTCCACAATACCTCCTATTATTCTCTTTGATTCCTTACTCTGTGTAAGGGATCTCTTGCTTTGATCTCTAGCTCTTTGTACTTTTTAAAAAAAATGTTCCTACAGAGATCTGTGCCTTTTTGTGCAAAAAAAAAAAAAAAAAAGGAAACAAAAAAATCTTGTTGAATTTTTTCCCCCCTCCCCCTCTTCTTTCAGGGAATTTCATTTCAGACATCCAAAACGTTCAGTGTCTTTAAGTATGAGAAAAAGTGGAGCAATGAAAAAAGGTGGCATTTTCTCTGCAGAATTTCTTAAGGTTTTCATTCCATCTCTGTTCATATCTCATGTTTTGGCTTTGGGACTAGGGTAAGTATTAACCTATATCTCACTTCAACTTTTGCATCTGGCTTTGCTTTGCCACTTGTATGTCAGGTGCTGCTGAAAAGGGCTTTATCTAGAATAACTAGAGTATTGTTGCACCTCACCCAAGGTAGACTTGGTGCACTTTTTGAAATGCAGGAAAACTTCGCAGCAATTAAAACTTTGCAGCCATTAATATGTTTTATTTCTAGATTAGATCAAGTTTCTTATACTGAAAATGCATGGATTATCACGAATTTGCAAATAACCTTTGCAATTATAGCATGTGCCATTTGATTATCCACACCTTCTACTTAAATGCTTCAGGTTATAATGTAGGGAAGGTAAGAATAGAATAGGTGGAAAACTGCTGTCACTTTTACTAACCATTACAAAACCACATTGTATAAATAATGATGCTTAAGTTCCGTGTGTATGGCACATACGTGTAATTTTCAATGTCTAATGCTGCAGTTGTGTGATATTACTGAAAGTCAAGGCTTGATTACTTAAACAAAGATACATGAAATACTGGATGTGTCCTGCAAGATCAGCTATGACTCTGCTCAGCAATGTTTTCATTGCCTGCGTAATCCGACATAATCTCTCAGTTTGCTTAAGTCCTTACATTATGTTTATCCATCTTATGTTCTTCTGTGATGGGGGCAAAGACATGTACTCAAAATATGTTTTTATTTAGCTTCATATTTGTTTCTGGGGGCGTAGTTCAAGTGTCTCTTTAAATTCTTGTAAACTATCAAATAAATTAGGAGGATAGAATATATGAGAATATATTGTAAGATATTTGTACTATAGCAAAATTGTGTATTTCTGCGACGAATTGAATCTTGCCTGGATTTATTTGTTAGAGGTCAGGGTTTGCGTAGATCCTCAGTGATCAGTGTTTTAAAGCTCACCCCCTCCCTTTATAGGCAGTACTTTATTTGTTTTATTGTAATAATCTGGGAGTGTTGCTCGGCTGTTCAAGAGCCCCTGAGTCAGGTACTCTGCAAACAACACACAAGCTTTTGGACTGGGGTTTTCAAATGAGCTTGGGACTGGAAGAAACCCACTTTTACTGAACGTTGATAGTATCGGTCCTTCTAGGCTCATCTGAAAATCTCATGCTTTAAGTAATTTTATAGAAGAGAAGTGAAGTCCTTGGAAGAATCTCGTCAGACCTACTTGAAAGACAAATTAGAATAGCTGAGTGCGTGAGGACTCTTTGGGAGTATTTCTGTGAAATACGATATGCCTTATACTTTTTATTTCAGCATCTACATTGGAAAACGACTGACCACACCTTCAGCCAGCACTTATTGAAAGATGGAGTGCAAAACCTGGAAATCCACGTGACCTGCGAAGGTGTTACTGTCTCATTTAGTACATTTGACTTGAGACCATTTTAAGCATGACCCTGACTTCACCCTTTCCTTACATATCCAGGTTTTCACTAACTCTGGAATTCAGTATTGTGTTGGAACTCTGTTGAGGTGTTTCGCTATCCACATTCTTTCCCTCTCTCCTCCTATTCCCCTGCCTCTTGGCCTGCAAGACACGTCAGAGTTGCTGAACGGAGTTTACAACTGTCTATATGTTGCAAGGGCTTCTCTCAATGCAAAATGCCACCAGCAAGTTTTAATTTTATCAGTGATGCTGTTGCCTCCTTAGTGCAACCTGACTTAAATTGCAGTTGTGCATGGTATAAATGTTGGCTGTATTATGGTGATAAAATTAACAGTCTCTTTGGAAGAAAATTATTGATTGGCGTGAAAATGAATTTTTCTTTTGAAAAACAAGCTGGTTGTGGAATAAACTAAGAAATCACTGGCAATAAAAAACAGTCTAAATCAGCTTTTGGGGGAATTTACTTGGCCCCTTGTATTGGCTAACGCCGTTTGATTTGCAGGAGGCAAAGACTGCATAAATTTTAAAGTAGGATAACTAAATCCATCAGCATATTTTAATATTAGGTAATTGTTGTAATCGTGTCTTTTCTATGAAGTCAGCTCCTTATTCCTTGTAGGAAAACCTGTCTGATGCCTAGAAAATATTAGAAAAATTGCATTGTTTGCATGTGAAGAAGCTTTTCTTTTCCTTACCTGTTTTCTTAAGGGAAAATTTTAAATGTGAAATTTTCCTTTTAAAAGTAGTTTTAAATTAAGGAAAAACCCAACAGCTGTAGGTGTAGTTAGACTCTGTATAAAAGGATATGATTCTGTTTGTTGTGGAACCATTTACAATTATGATGATATCGCATTTTCAGAAAGTAAAGCGTTTGACTTATCTTTAAGGGGGACAATCTTGCAGGTGCGTAAAGGTTCAGAAGTTGTAAAGCTCTGAAATGTCTTCTGCAAATGAGTTTTCAATATTCCTATTTCTCATTGTTTACTGTACAATCTCCTTTGGGGATACATGGAATCTGAAAGTCACTCGTGATGTCTCATGTTAGATAGACTTCTCACTAATGTTGAACTTTTATCTTAGGGAACATTAAGCCTTGTCCTCCTTCAGTGACACTTTTCAAAATGTGAAGCTTTAGTACCAAATTGTTACAAAGCATTGGGACAGTCATGTCCTTAAGTAGATTTTATTGGATTTCAGAACATGTAGCATGACTCTGAAGGATAGAATACTCTTTTTTTATATATATATGAATATAT